AACCAAAAGCGTTACAATTCGTTTCTGGCATTTGAGTGATAGTGTGATAGGGCTTTCGAGTTTGTGGATGAGGGAGTATTGGGGCTAACATAGGGCTCACTCATACAGCTAACACACTGCTTTCATACCGTTTCACAGTGAGACATTGGTAATCCCTCCGGTTCAACTTGCCCAATCGCGCTGAAACGTGACTTCTCAAAGGGAAAAAAATTGTAAGGAAAGCTTTGGTAAATTCTGGTTCCTGTAACAGGCATCTAAAAATATCTCTATGTTGCTAATTTACGAATTCACTTTATTATTTTCATACACTCATATTCTGTCGCTCATCTGTCTATTATTAAACTTTATGAAAATAATACATTATGAAACGTTTCCCACATAAACCTTTTAAAACCCAGGTATTCTAGAGTTCTTATTTCTGAGTTAGTTTTCTATCTCTTCTATTTGTCAATTAGACGGGAATACCCCTAAAATAAACTACAATCTAACTTAAGTATCCACAACACTTGATTTCGATGAAAGCAGTTCAAACTCGAATGGTTGAGATAACGTTCGATTGCCGTATCTTGGGTGTTAACACTTCTTTAGTGATAATGTGACATTACGTACGTTATTCAAAATAACTACGTTGTCATCCTATCTGCAGCTGATTGTCATTTCTTATTATAAATAACTTATTTAACTTAACTCGTCGAGTATCGTCATTATAGACACAATTATAGAACAATAGGTTGCGGTCACCGGTGACCGCTTGGTGTTTGACAGTTACATTGTAGAAAAATGCTTCAGTCTACTTACACAAAATAAAAAAAATTGTGGATTTGGTTTCTGTTCTTTGGTTGGGTGTCGCTATAAAAGTGCACTTCATTTCTTTTACACCACTTTTGCTACAGATTTTAATATTCGTGTTTAGTGTTGCTATTTCCATGTCCTTAATGATCTAGATGAATGATGATGAATGATCTATCCTCCTGACTGCCTCGCTGGCCGAGTGGTCGCAAATGCGACTGCCGGGCATGGGGTCTCGGGTTTGATTCCCGGGTCGGGCAAAGTATTACTGGGTTTTTAAAAAATTCTCAGTAGTAGCACGGAGTCTGGAATTGTGCCCGGTATATGGCAATAGGCTCACCCCTTATTACATGGGACTCATAACACAAATAGTGAAAAATGGGTGTTACATTGTACAGTTCCATAATGTACACCTCTGCCTACTCCTTCAGGGATAAAAGGCGTGATGTTAATGATCTATTCAGAGGCTGCTAGGCATACACCCCCAAACTTTTGACAGCCACATTTGGCCTCTATTCAGCAGTACGTATCATTTTAAGACCAAAAAAAAATCTTATTAAATTTTATCCTAATTTATTTCATATAGATGATATAATTACTAAGAATTAAAAAAAATCAGATCTTCATCCGAGAAACATTTTTAATAAGGTTATAATACTCTTACCTTGTGAAAACAACAATTAGCAATGTTTCTATCTGTACATTGAGCAATTTATCGCTATGCTACAATCTGTAGGCGCTTCTAACACAGTATTTATTCATGTTAGTATGTTCGTGTATGTTTGTAAACGTGCTATGTCGGTGAGGGAATTTCTTAGTACTTTCATTGACCTTGACATCTTGGTAATTGAGTTTACAGACAATACAAATATTCGTTATTAGGTACGTGCGTCATCAGTCGGTGGAAACAGGGCATCCGCTCCAGATGCAACCCTGAGGCTGACCGCGACCATTGGGCATGCGGATCTGACTCCAAAAAAAGATAAGAGAGATTCCCTTGTATGTATTTGAAACAATAGACTCTCCCTCTGTGGCATAACGTAAGCGTATAGGACTGAGTTGGAAATAAGGACCTAACTGATAAGACCAAAAACTGGCGAAAAGGAAAATAATATTTTATAATATGCGTCTACAACTACCAAGTACCAGTTCCAAGAAAAACAATTGGTAACGAAAATCACTCTTCTAACTATAATTAACTCGATTCTATCACTTCTAATTTGCTTCATATCATGTTCATACCCAAAAAACATACCGTGATACCCGTCCACCAAACAACAGCTGATATCTTTGGTCCAGGCTACAAGAGGTCAACTCTCTGACTATATTTCATTCATTATCTGAGGTCAATTTATCTGGCGTGCATCGTCACTGTCAATGGAACCAGTTTAAACTAGATTTGTACAAGTCGTATGATAGCCGGCCATATCTATTTTAATATAATTTGCAAGGTTTTTTAATACTGCTCTAGTGCATTCTTGGACATCATTTTAACGATTAATAGAAAAGCAACTAAGTAGTTAGTATTACAACCGCATAGACGTACAGATTGATTGTTAGATATTTCCGTACGTCCTAGTCAGAGGTAGGTACGTAACGACTTTTTATTTATTTATTTATGTACACACATACAACATAAAGGACAACACATACATAAAATTAAAGTACAAAGGTACCACCTATTCCTATTGGAATTTCTTCCTGTGGACCTGGAGCAGGAAAAGTAATAATAATATAATGACACAGTGTGTAGTAACAAATAGAAAATTGGGATAGGAAACAGACTTAAAACTAACAGATAAATAACCAAACAACTACATACAATA